CCCCCCCCCTCCCCTTCATTGCCGCTTTAGGGCTGAATTGCGCCCCCTACCCTACACTACCTAGTAGTTCACGCCCCCATCTAGTGTTGCCGCTTTAGCTTGGCAATATTAGACTTAGTACACATATGTATGTAAGTTACTGTACTCTTTTCTCGGTTGTGCACCATGTGGCATAGGATATAATCTATTAATTTATTCCATACAAATATTGCACAAACCCTGCACCAGAATCGTCCTCTCATGGCCGTTTACGCATCAGTCAGGCATGCAAACAATCAGATCTATACACACAAGTTTACATCGTAGGCGGCATTCAAGCTGTCATGTTCCTGTCAAAGGAGAGAATATCCGGAAGGTCTCGGATGTCCGTCGTTTCGTTTGTATTGACATCCACCAGACGCACGGCTTCCAGACGGAGGGCGCCCACGGCCAATGGCAACAATTTCAATTCGGTCGCAAAGCAAGTCCCCGGCAGAAGTGGTCTACGAGGCTAGTCATTAATCATCCTGTCAAACATTTAGGCTCAGGATATCACTTACCCAGCGCGAACATCTGTGCTCATTGAAACAAGCTCGGCTTCCTGGCCAGCCACACTCTTCTGGAGCGCATGCACGATGTTGTCGTCAGTCACGGCTTCTGCAATCTGGGCTTCCTTGCGAAAAGATGCTGATGAGGATGAGGGGCGCGCCGTATGGGTCCGGGGATCGGGTCTCTTCCGTCGAGGGATGGCTATCATGGCAAACTTTCGAGCGGTTGTGGACCGATTCACAATGAAGACATTCCACGAGAATGGCTTGCCGACTTCCACTCGAGGAGGCCCAGTGAACGTGATCGACACCCCGAGATCTGTCGTAGAGTATGCTCTGTCCCTTAAAGAGCTACGATTAACTCCTGTCCCTCCTGCCATCGCGTTGTTGAGATTTTGATTCATAGGAAGGCTAGCCGGACGGTTATTCCGCTGCAGGGCCTGGCTGGGAGCACCAAAGGTAGGGTTGAGTGGCATAGAAAAGTCCACGTTGGTCCTCCACTGCATCAGAATTCGTGGATTGCAATTGTGCGATAGGTGGATCACGGCCTCCAAGGATATATCGAGGACACTGACCAAGACCGTCGTTGACGGACTTGGATTCTGCCCGTCCTCAGGGGTCAATTTGTATACCAGGGTTATATCATCTCGTGGTAGGCATCTGATGGGTGGGACAAGTCCTGGCGCATCTGAAAGTGTCTCGATGGTTCCATCTGATAACCGGAGCTCGGCCTTATCAAATGTCACATCGCATGTGAGAAATGGTGTCACTTCAAAGTCAAGGCTGGCGACAGTGGTTGGCCGCCCGCTATAAGAGTTCAGCCGAGCATATCGTATCCTCGCACTCGCAGCTGGAACAACTCGGATCGGATGCCCTGAACGTTGTTGAATATGGTAAATGGGGTCTTCGGTCTGTTGTGCCGGTACAACACGCAAAAGTCGGGACGCTGGGAGGAAAGGATCTTTGAGGGAGAGGGATTTGTCCGAAGACAGAGGCTGTAGTACGTTGGTGGATGCTGGTATCAACGGTGGAAGGTAGTCGTCCCCACGAGATGTTTGTTGTTGATTCTTCGCTAGATTGAGATTGGCGGAGGCGATGAAAAGAAGGGAAGGATGAGTGATGCGTATGCGCGGGCGTTCTATAGCAATTAGCACAGCCCGAGCAAAGGCAGGGGTCCCGGAAACGCCTTACTGAGAAAAGCTTCGATGCTCCAAATCACATAGACATGGTTGCCTTCTCCTGCATCGCCCTCGAACTCGTTGACAACCACAAGCGGCTCCTGTGCCTTGACGGCCCCTGAGAAGATCAGATCTCTGGTCGAAGTCGGGTTCTCTGCAACAGTCTCGGCCGGATCGATAGCAAAAGCATCTAGGCCGACCTCGAGCTGTGGAAGGTATTGTTTGAGGCTAGCAGGTGAACAATTAGAGAGTCGGAGGACGATGCGGACGGTGCAGAACTCATCTGTATCCCGCTATAGATGAGTAAGAGACAGAGCTCGAGTTGGACGACAGGTCAAAACATACCGAAGAAGAGAACGGAGCGTTGGGATATTTGCGAAAGTACCGAGGTCAGGTCATCTGCGCCTCCTTCCAGAGCAGACGTCAGAGCAGCCTCCAAGTCTACATCTGAAGCATGCGGGACAACTGTATCTAGAACAGCATGCCTGAGGAATTCCCCGGGGATATCAAGACTCGGCATACTAGCGGGGTGACAATGATCGCATAGTCCTCTACCGGGTATTGAACGAACAGTGATTGACACGCGACAAATCCACCGAGGGTCACAAACAAATCATCAATTAGACAGTTGCATGGCAAGCCAGGGACCGACAAGTGGAGGGAGGGATGGAGACGCTCCATGGGACGGACGGACCCTGGGAAGGAGTCGATGCAAACAGGACAAACACCCTTAGTGCAGGAACCCCGGAGGAGCTTCTGCGAACCACCGCCGCTCCGTGTTACTTTTTCTCGCCTTCATTCATCGCTGGCAACCGCAAGTCCCCTTCATCTTGGGAGCCTCTGCACTGACAATATGAATCCAATGAATGGTCCAGGCGGTGCGCCCGCCCTGTGGCAGGAGGCCCGCAACGCTGAAGGTCGCGTCTACTACTACAATGTTCAGACCAAAGCCACGCAATGGGCGAAGCCCGTCGAGCTAATGACACCGGTTGAGGTTTGTATACTCCTTTCTATCCCTGCTCTGCATGTCTCAAGCTAATCTGATACGTGTTACAATTCTAGCGCGCGTTGGCGAATCAACCGTGGAAGGAATACACGACGGATAATGGGCGGAAGTACTGGTACAACACCGAAACCAAGCAGAGCACCTGGGAGATTCCAGATGCTTACAAAAATGCTCTGGCGCAGGCTCAGCCTCCTCAGCCTCCCCCTGTAGCGTGAGTGGCGCGGTCGACTGTGTCCATTATCCGTGAATGTTGTGCTAACGTTTTCCTGAACAGAGCTCCAACATTCGTTGCAGGTGGAGTCAGCTCGTTTCCATCGTACCCCCAGCAGAGAGAACGCGATGACTACGATCGAGGCTATGGCGATCGCCGTGGAGGCTATAATCCAATGGACGCTAATGGTCTTGCAGCGGCACCCGTCTTAGGGAATCAGCAAGCCGATCCCGAATACGCTTCCCTTGAAGAGGCCGAGGGTGCCTTCATGAAGATGCTGAAACGCCACAATGTGCAACCCGACTGGACTTGGGAGCAGACAATGCGCGAGACAATCAAAGATCCTCAGTATCGTGCCCTAAAAGACCCTAGAGACCGCAAAGCAGCCTTTGAGAAGTACGCGGTCGAGGTTCGCATGCAGGAAAAGGATCGGGCGAAAGAAAGATTTGCTAAGCTCAGAGCAGATTTCAATACCATGCTGAAGCGTCATCCTGAAATCAAGCATTACAGCCGGTGGAAGACCATTCGGCCGATTATTGAGGGTGAGACTATCTTCAGGTCCACAGACGACGAGGCTGAGAGACGCCAGTTGTTTGAGGAATACATCATTGAGCTCAAGAAGGAGCACGTCGAACAGGAAGCGGTGAAGCGCAAGGCTGCCATGGACGAATTGGTCAATATCTTGAAATCCTTGGACCTCGAGCCTTATACACGCTGGTCTGAGGCGCAGGCGATCATCCAATCCAACGACAAAGTCCAGAGCGATGATAAGTTCAAGACGCTGAGCAAGTCTGATATCTTGACCGCATTTGAGAACCACATCAAGGCGCTGGAGCGAGCATTTAATGATGCCCGTCAGCAGCAGAAAGCCGCGAAGGCCCGAAAGGAGCGCCATGCTCGAGAGCAGTACATTGAGCTCCTTAAGGAACTAAGATCACAGGGCAAGATCAAGGCCGGCAGCAAATGGATGAATATCTATCCTCTAGTTAACGAAGACCCCCGGTACCTTGGCATGCTGGGAAATGCTGGGTCGTCTCCGATCGATCTCTTCTGGGATGTGGTAGAGGAGGAGGAGCGGTCGCTGCGCGGCCCACGCAACGATGTCTTGGATGTACTTGATGTGAGAACCCCTCGTATTCTACCCTTGCAAACACCGCTAACCTAGCTTCTAGGACAAACGTTTCGAGGTTGCGCCAAAGACCACTTTCGAAGAGTTCAACGCAATCGTATCCGCCGATCGCCGGACAGCGAACATTGACCCCGAGATCCTGCAATTGATTTTCCAGCGGATTCAAGAAAAGGCCATTCGACGCAACGAAGAGGAGAAGCATGCCGCCGATCGCCATCAGCGACGTGCCATCGACGCACTCCGCTCGCGCATCAAACGCCTTGAACCCCCTGTCAGAGCCAACGATACATGGGACCAAGTACGACCCAGGATTGAGCGGTTCGAGGAATACAAGGCCCTGGAAACCGACGATCTCCGCCAGGCGGCCTTCGACAAGGTGATCCGGCGCCTGAAGGAGAAAGAAGAAGACGCTGAGCGAGACCGGGAGGCCCGTGACCGAGATCGTGGCGGCAGCCGTCGCGACCACCACGATCGGGATCGTGATCGGGACCGTGAGCGCGACCGCGACCGCGATCACCGCAGCAGTCTCTCTCACCGTGGCGAACGGCGAGGAGCATCCAGCCGCCTGAGCCGGACCCCGGAGCCCGACGCCTATGAGGCCGACCGCCGCAAAGCCCAGGCCGACCGCGAACGCTCCTACCGCAAAGCCAGCGGCCTATCGCCGGTGCGCGAACGTCGCGAAGACCGGGATCGAGACCGTGAGCGCTACCGCGAACGCGAACGGGATCGGGATCGGGACCGTGAGCGTGAGCGTGAGCGTGAGCGGGACCGCGACCGCGACCGGGAACGTGACCGCGACTGGGACCGGGACCGCAGCGCTCGCTCCCTGAGCCACTACGACCGCGAGCGTCGCGATCGCGAAGAGGAACGTGAGCGCCTCTACCGCACCCGCGGCGACCCTCGCGGCAGCCGTGACGAACTGGACTACGGCGCCGACACGAAGAGCACCGCCAGCACCGACCGGCGGCGCAGACGGGACAGTGACGCCGAGAGCGTAGCCAGTCGCTCTGCCAAGCGGTACCGGCGGGAAAGCCGAGAACGCGATCGCAGCAGAGGTGGTGTTGGTGCTCGCAGGGGAACCGCAGGGGAGAGAGACCGGCGCGAACGAACCCCCGTCGTCGCCGGCGCAGGCGCCGCTGCGGCGCCTGCTTCGGCCGTCCCAGGTCCTGCAGCAGCCGTGGCGGAAGAAGCCAGGAAAGAGGAGAAGGCAGTCCATTCCGGTAGCGAGGAGGGCGAGATCGAAGAAGACTAAGCTAGGTACCTAGCTAGCTGGTTTACGATTCTGGTCCCGCAATCCTGGTCCATGATGACTACCTCGACAAATCGCCATTCTGGCAGGGTTCCTTCCCTTTTTTTTTGCCTTTACCTCCCCCTTTTCGAGGCTTAGACAGATTACAGCCGAATTCATGTCATTTTTTCTCGAATTGACAACGATTGTACGGATGTTGTGTCCTAGATTCTGTATTCTAGCGTAGGTTATATAGTATCAAGAGCGCTTACCAAAATCTACTGGAGTTGAGGTGAGGTGTATACTCGAGACTATAAAATGGTCAAATATAACTCAGTTAGAGTCAAGCATAGTCAACGAAGAACCAAAATGAACAATATTGGCTGAGGAAGGTCTGGTTTACTGCTCAGCGTGGAGGGTAGTCCACCGTAGAAGTCGGAGAGCGCATTGAGTGGTCCGGAACAGCCGATATATATTTCCACTATTTCCGAGCCAACAACCACCAAGGATCGACCTGCGATTTGCCTAGATGGCTTCACTCGCTTTGAAACTTGATAGGAGAAATAGAGCCTGTCCTTCAGAAAGGATAATGAATTACACCGTAAAGAAAAATTTAAAGAATGAATATATGCCTCTAATTCGTATAGACAGTGGCTACTTCCCACACACACGCATACACCGACATCGAGGACCCTCAGCCAACCCTCGTTGTCGGTGATTTTAACCATTTCATGCGGTGAAGGAAAAATGGAAAAAGAACAGAAGTATATTCACGAGGAAAAAAAGAAGAAAAAAACAATAGAAGTCGACTTTTGACACAACAGCAAAACAGAATCTCGAATTCAAACTCCGACATGACTTTGACGCCAGCTCCTTCCCACCAGAACCAAAAAACCCATCCATTTGTGTGAGAAACCCAAATGTTGAAAATCTTTCTCTAAACGGAACTCTTTATTAACAGTCGTGCTCGCGTTTTCTTCATTCCAACTTTTCGTAGCATCGCGGGAGAAAAGAAGACAGATGCCAGCCTGTTGCGGGTTTATTCGGGGCGGAGGATGATTGGGAAAATGGAGAGAAGGCAGACCGAAAGGGGGCGACAAGATCAGCGGTCGGCTGAGGACCTTTCTCTACAGCTGGGATAGAGGTGGGAATTGAAGAAAATCCCCGCCACCACTAGCTACAGATGATAGATGAGCATGTCGTCTTCCTCGTCGTCATCTTCATCCTCCTCCTCCGTCTCCTCCACATCACCACGCCCTGCACTGGGCCGGCGACCACCGCGACGACGGCAGCACCGGCACAGAGCCGCAGAGGCCTTGGTAACGCCGAAAAACGCCACTAGCCGAAGGAACCTCTTCCTCCGGTCCCGGCGACGTCGGTGGTGGCGGCGCCGCCGGTCGAAATCGCGGCCGTCGCCATGGCGAGGCACGCGGTTATGTTTGCCAAGAACGGCCGTTTCACTGCTCTTCTTCCAAGAAGAACTGGAAAATGCAAGGTTAGTACGATGCTGAGGAGTGTCATAAGGAGCAGAACTTACGTAGTTGCCCTGGAGCTTCTGCTCCTGGTCCATCTGGGACTGGTGCTTGTTGATACGGGGACGGTAGCTGTTGGGATCACGACGGAAGGTGACGTCCAAGTTCTTCAAGAAGGTGTTGCAACCAGTGACGAGGGACTCGGGGGAGTTGGCGTGCGCATCAATGGACGGCTTACCGTCGAAGACGATGACACGGTCAGCCAGGTAGGTGGCCATGATGAAATCGTGCTCGACGATGAAAGCGGTCTTCTTGGTGTGCATGATGAAACGCTTGATGACTCTGGCAGCTACAATACGCTGCTCGGAATCGAGGTAAGCACTGGGCTCGTCAATCAGGTAGATATCAGCGGGCATTCCCAGGGCCAGGACGATGGCGACACGCTGCAATTCACCACCAGACAAGTTCTGAACC